CGCTGTTGTCGCCCTGTTGATGACGTCAGCGATGTGGTTTAGTCGGGCGCAGTTTAGTCGAGCGCGGTTTTGTGGTGGAACCGCCCCCAACAATCTGGGTACTCCTTTTACCCACCTCGGAAGGATGGAAGGCTGAGTCAACCTTGAGATAGCATGCAGTGTTCTAGTTATAGTCTTACCATGCCTAAGAATAACAATAGGAAGGAATACAGATAGTCCTTGACTTACTACTGGCAGTTAACAACTGTTTGAAGTTTATGGTCGCCTCAGAAAGGGGACTTTATGGCTCATTAAAGCGCTTCCATTAAAGGCTGCATTTTGAGAACTACTCAGAAACATAGAAAACTGAGGGCAGAAACAATTCTGTGGGTTGTTTCTTTTTGTATTCTTATTTATTTATTTACTTTTATTTCTTTTCTTATTTTGTTTTTATTTTTGCCAGACGATAGACAACATGCTTATCCCAAGCATGTTTAAATTCAGCTGCTGCTAATGATCAGGATTACCTGCTAATACCTGCATTATCTTGCTTAACCGTAAACCAGAGAATTAGAACCAGCTACCTCGCAATGCTGCCCCAAGGATTGCACAGGTAGTCCTCGACTTACGACCAAAGTTGAGCCCAAGGTTTCTGCTGCTAATAAGGGACACATTTGCTAAGTGAGTTTTGCCCCCATTTTGCGACCTTTCGTGCCACAGTTGTTACATGAACATCACTGCAGTTGAGATGTTAGTCACATGGTTGTTAAGTGGATCTGGCTTCCTCATTGACTTTGCTGGTTGGAAGGTCGCAAAAGGGGATCACATGACTTTGGGGCACGGTAACGGTCATAAGCACGAACCAGTTGGCAAACATCTGAATTTGGATCACAGGATACTTGGGATCAGAGGTGTGTTCCTACTGGTTTGGCCCGGTTTGGCCAAGTAGGTAGTAACTCGGCCTGTCACGCCCCTGAACTGGTTCTCTCGGCGGCGTCTATGGCGCCGCCATATTGTTTTTTGCTTTTACACCAGGGGTGGGTTTCTCGCCCCGTTCCAACCGGTTCGGTTGGAACGGGGCTGGCGGTGTCCTCGTGCATGCTCGCGGTGCACACATGCGTACTAGCGTCTGTGCGACACTCCAGCTGCTCCTGGATGATTGCGCAGGCGCTGTATGCGTCCTGCGCATGCG